CTTAGGGATACGAATATTATATTTCCTCAATCAAATTAACTGTCCCTTTGAGTTAATCGACAGTTTCTTTGATCCTTTAGATTGAAGGAATTAATTTAATTATCAGGCCTCTTAGTACAAAGCGACCTATCAAATATTGATTTCCATTCTCTCCAAATAGATGTTAGGTTATCAAGGTGATCAAGGGTATCAAGATGTTAGGTAGTAAAGGACGCTTGATGCACGTTTCAATCGCGTTTCTCACAAGAAAAGAAAAAAAATCGCTATTGTGAAACATTTTTAAGCCTCTGCCTTGATGATTACAAAATAGGAATGATAAATAATAACGAAAAAGGAATATTGTGCTTCAGTCATAAGCGGAAGTGAGAAGTCACACATTCTTAGCAGTGACCGATGGGTGCAAGGTTCGTTGTAACGCCAGGATACAACTATTCGTGCTCTATGGATGTCCGGGTTGCATACCAAAAAATTGAAGGCGCTTCAGATTTTCTCATGCTCGCAGTAAAGCGCGGCAAAACGACCGACGTCCCAAGAGTCCAACTGTTCTGGGTAGAACCATCGAAACCGTCGCGCATATCGTATGATGCAGTCATTGAATCAGTCCACGAACGAACACTATTTCCTTGAGGAATAGGTCCCTATACTTTCTGGGAAAATTATTTTAGGCGTCCATGTTTGTCAATTAGGGTAAATACATTTTGTGTTTTCGGTTTACTTCTGAGGACGCTCTCAAATGTCTTCAGAAATAAACCTGTGAGAGTTGAAGTACATTTTTGTATCAATAAAACAGATGAGCTGAGTTGTAAATTTTAAGCCCCGAAGAAAACTGACAAAAATGGTTAATTCATCCGAATATTTTATTTAATGAAAAAAATTAATAATAAGAAAAAATCATCAAAACTGCAAATTTAAAACTGTAAACTCGCAAAAATCCGACTAAGTCCAGTATTCGGATTGTTTTCTGGGCCGAGACATTTATCAAACACTTTCGTATTAACAGGGTCATAAAGTTAATTTTGAGTTTCTCGGCACAAAATCTGTTTCTAATAGGCAACATCGAAGAAGAGCCTGATTTGAAGATTGCTGCAGAGTTCATTTGTCATTTTCTCTGTTCTCGTAACGCGACCTCCAGGGCTCCTTTCTCCTACCCATGTACAACACTTTGGCCACAATAATCTGGAAGATTTAAGCCTTTGTTCTTTGTGAGCGCTGAGTATCTCGCCAAATCAACACTCCTCTCTCGCAATCCTCGTGAGTGCGTGAGTCCTTGTTTTATGATCAGGACTGACAGAGTGACTTAGATTTTAGATACATGACGCACGCCTTCTCTGAGTTGAGTCGCACTGTACAAACGCATCACACGATGTATTACACACGGAATTGTGGTTGAGATAAATGAATGTGAGTAACACCTTTCATGCAGAATTATTCATGTAAGTACCCTGTCTGCGACTGGGAGCACACCAGGTGCGCAGGGATTAAACTTGATGAATAATGTATGATTTATCTGCTTGATCTGCAACCGCGAACCAAAGGAGAGATATGGGGTCCAGCGGCCCAAGGATGATATCAAATAACTTTGTATTTCCGTGCTCTGAATCTTCAAATCGTCTTTACCGAAGACAGAAATCCGATTTTGTATTAAAAACTCGCCGCCTCTTGGCGAACGGTTGCAAAAGTGCGATTTTGAATCCAACTCAGGAGTTCGATTTGAAAATCGAGAATGTGATATGAACTACTACCAGTTTTATCTCCCTCGGCACACAGTGGATCGAGTCAATCAGAGAGGTCGGACATACAATTTTAAACTAAAACTGAAAATTTACATTTTTAATTCATCACATTTTAAATTAAAGGGGTGCTTCTAGAAGAGAATTTCACGAAGCAACTAATGGAATAACTTTCGCTGCGCGGTGGGATGTTCGTTCTGGGGGTCTGCACCGGTTTGTATTGTCCACCATATTCGATCGCAAAAATTCGCCTCGAAGCACGGATGTAAACTTAAAGAACAAATGTGAGAAAATCAAAGATATCCTATTGGAGATTTGTCAACTCCCCTAGAGCACCCGTTGCATAGTGGATCGAGTCAATAGGAGAGGTTGGACAAAAGTTGGCAACTTTAAGTGAGTATAACTCCGTTTATACAAAACTTTGAGGTTCACTGGAAAAAAAAACACACTGGAACAAAATCTCTAAAATCCTATGATCCTAAGATTGCAAGCTCGCGGTGTGCACTGTTCGGAAATGGCGTGAACCGGGGTAGGTTTGACACCAACAAAATACGACTTTTCAGCGACTTGAGAACGCATCGTGGTGTACGCGCAATGCATGAAGTATCCTGCAGACTTATAAGGCGCTATACTACGCGCCGCGCGCACCTTGCTGTACGCGCAATGCATGAAGTATCCTGCGGCCTTGTAAGGCGCTAGCGTTCAGCGCCGTGCGCGCCCGCCTCGCGCCGGCCGCCGGCCGCACTGCATTTGATGCGATCGTACAAACTTGCGCATGCAAAATAGACAGACCAGAAGCAGCAGTCTCTTTCCCATCAGAAACAGACTCAAGATTGAGGTGTTTCTTTTCATATTCCACGAAGTTCTAACTCACACTTGAAAAAAAAACACATTGGATCTAGAGTTCAAACTCTTAAAAACATCGACAAGAAAAAATACTCTTGATTCAATTAGATTTAAGCTTAAATCAAGAATCAAGCCTCTTAATTTGAGCGGATTTCCTTTTTATTTAAGCTTAAATCTGATTGAATCAAGAGTCCTTTTTTTTGCCAATGTTTTCAAGAGTCTGGACTATAGATCAAATGTGTTTTTTTCCAGTGTTCCAAAAAAGGTTCCATTCGTTTTTTCCGTGAAATTTTCTTCTAAAGGCACCCCTAAAAGTCAAAATGTGCCGAAATAAACAAATAAATTTGCAGTTTTAGCCCAAAATTTTATGTCCGAACTCTCCTATTGACTCGATCCACTGTGCACCGGCCGACAGGCTAGTTAGCCGGCGCGGTTGGTCAAACGATTGAAGGATCGATCGTATCGCGAAGCTGTCTATTGGTCGAAATGCAATGCAAGCTGTAGATAAAAATCGTTCGTGACGGCGACTTTTATTCGCGGCAAGACAAATTGGATGTGACATAAAGTTCCCACCGTCCGGCCGCATAAAATCTTAGTCACGCAATCTGTTCGTTAGGCAGACATTTATTAGAGTTAAGTACTCGGACAGACGAACCGGAGTCACCGCCGCGTTGCCAGATTCTTGGAACTTTTCCACGATTATTTTCCACCCATCTCCAAGACGGCAGTTTTCTGTCAGTCGTATGGGTCGATACACGGATGTTGGGTCCAAAATTTTAACGTTCTAACTGTAATGTCAAAATTTTTGAGGTCCAAGTATGCATAAATCCATTTACGAAATGCGCAAATGCATTATGTCCAATGTTTAAAGATTTTTATATCATGGGTGAGAAGGGAAAATATAGTTTCTCCCTTTTTTGTTTACTTTTTTTAGAGGTCATAAAGGTGGTCATTACTGTGGAAAAATGAGGTAGGAACAAACAATTTTTAGTGCATTTTTTTACATTAATTTTTCACTGACAGAATTTTGAATTTAGAATTAGGTAGGGCCGGAAAAGAGATCAACGGGCCAATTTTGCCGAACATGTATTCATTTTAGATAGTGCTTAGGGTTATACACTTTGAAAATTTTGAAGGCATATCAACCACTTCATCTAAACTGCGAAGTTTTAATGTGAATACCATTTAAAGAGTAGAAAGTAAAAGAATTAACCTAACCTAACCTTCGTTGGACTTTTCGTAGTTTTGAACTTTCATTTTTGAAGTTTTTTGTGGACGAACAACTTAGTTTTTTGGACATTAATAGATTGGACATTCAGGAGGTAGGGCATATAACATTTTCGCCCTCACAAATGGACTTAAATGTCTTGGACATGTCATCTGGAAAGCCGCGGGTCGTATTCATTTTCGTCTCTTAGGAGATCTTTCTCCAGAAAGCCCCATACGGTTTACATTTCGATTGAGGGAAATGTAAAAAATAGAGGAGCTATTTGGGTATTCATACGGTGTTTTTACCGAACACAATTTCTAGTGTATTTTTCGTTTTTCGAAAATTTCTTTCACCATAAAATTTCCGAATTTTTCTTCGATCTGGAAGCTCTCCGTCTCTCACAGTTGTCCACCTCGTTCCCCGAGTTGGCAATGTATTGTCCGTTATCAGAAAGGACTGCCGTGAAAATGAACCTCATTCTCTCTGACCCCCGTCCTTTGATCACCGGCATTGTGAGGAGCAATTTGTACGGGGCGTGCCGAAAAAATCGGCCAGTTGCCCCAGACATGTCATGTTTGACGGCGTAAAGTGTGCCGTGTCTTATTGCACTTTTAAAAATAGTCCCAGAGCGTTAATCGAGGAAAGAGCGTCCTTGTTTTCTCTTGAGCTAGCGCAGGAACGTTGACGCTGACGTGAGATCGCTGTGTCGATTCAAAATTTTGGAGCACAAGAAATCACGCTCGGAAAAATGCACTGCCTCGACGGAAAAACTAGATTTTCCCCAAAATGGATCATGACATACAGCTGTTACATCACAACCATAAAAAAAATTCAACAAAATAAGTGCATGTTTGTTGTTGTATGCTAGGTCTTTCTTCGGACAAACCTGACTCCCGGCCACTAAGAAAAACTACCTGCATGCGCGGTTTTGACAAAACGTCTTACAAACTACGTGAATTTCGCGCTAAGGAGTAGATTTCAGACTTTTTTGACGTGCTAAAAATGATTTTTGAACGAATTCACTCTCCGAAAGTCTATTCAGTTGGCTGCATCTCTTACTTGCAACAGACAGATCCACTCTCCACATCTAGCATAGCCCAAGGAGGGTGTCTAAAATGCTTTGTGAAAAAACTAAAAATTAAAACTTATTTTTTACGTCAATATTTGAGTCTGAAGTACATTTTAATTCTAAATTTTCATGTAATCTCACAATTTTGAACGCGTGAAATAATGGTATACCTAAAATATCAGCGAATGAAGAAATAAAATTCGGGATGAATGTTGAGTAAAACATCTTAAAAACTAACGGTAAACTACAGATTTATCAGATTCACATTTACTTGTTCGCGAGCTTGCGTTCAGTGCAACAGTTGTTTTAGAATTTGACGAAAATGCCGGCAAATCTTTTATATAAATTTTTTTCCAGTAAGCATTTTCGAGGAAAAAATCTTCGCCCTCTATCTCCTTGATTGGAGTGTTCTTTAAATAACGCGTCAAAGGACAGTATTTGAACAGCGTTGTTGTGTGTGTTGTAGAATTAAGAATGTAATCCCAGTAATGTTTCTTATTGCACCGTAGCCAGCCGAAAGGCAGTTTTTTATCGATGAGTTTTTTTGCGAGGGCAATACTCTTGTCTCGTTCGAAGAAATACGAATGGACATTTTTGAGGCGAACTTTCAGGCGACGGTTTTTCTTGACGTCATTCGCGGGAATAAGTTGGACTGTAGTTGTTCCGGTAAAAATTTCTCTCAAGCCACCTCGAACAAAAACTAGTTCTTCATTGCTTACTGCGAGGAAGAGGTCTCCAGATGTTGTCTCCAGAACGTTCCCCCTTTCAAAACTAAGGCTGCTCATACGTTGGAAAGTGGCAATAGGTTCTTGCTGAGGTTTGCGACCGTCCAAGTTTTTGAAATTCAGGAAGAGTAGTATTGCCAGATAAACTGCAACGTTAGAGATATGCAGTTAAATTTCTATTCATAGTGTCAAACACCCGACGAATGAATAAATAAAATAAAATCCCTACCCCGAAAATAATGGAATGACGGCGGTTCTGGTGGGTGTCAGTTCACAAACGAAAAAAAGAAGGTCAATATGAATTCACTGGGAATTTGGAATATTTTTGCTGCAAATATGCAAATATTGAATCTCAATACAAGAAGTTTACTTTCCAAATATGTCTGCTGCGTAGATGATCTCTTGGCTCCTCAATTAAAGAAATACCCGTAACCATCAATGATGTATTTACCTGCTTCCATATGACTTCGCCATTTTCAATTTTTTAACCACAAGCATCGAGCGTCAAACAAAAAACTACAGTATAAACATTGAGAGTTTATCCCATTGTAGGAATTTATTTCTTACAATGTTAAGATTCTGAAACTGTACTGAAGTCTCAACAAAATACAAATTGAAAATTATCAATAAAGCATAAAAATCTATTTAAGACAAATTATAGTAAGGGGCATCTTCTTTTCTTGTGACAACTTGAATTGATTAAACTGTATCGGAGTGGTTGCCACTAACCTATGATAAAACTCGCAAGTTAAAGTTTTACACCTCGATTAGTCCCACTCACTTTTGAAAGTTTCGGGAATAGGTAGGATCAATTTCATATGAAAGAAGGAGCAAAACTTCTCCTACCTTTAGACATACTTGATAGCTTGACTGGATCAGTGGTTGGGCAAGTACACTCTGTCACAAAGACAAAAACAACTTAACACGGTAAAGGATGTTTAAATGCATGTACATATTGCTCACTGAATGACGATGCGATAAATTATTTTGAATGAACTGCGTCAGAAGAAAAGCGCTTTCCCGGAAAATTATGTGTCCGCTCATTAGACGAAATACGTAATTCCTTTTCTTAGTATCGGTAGCAAAAAAAGAACACCCGTATTGCAATGATTCTAATTTTTTAACACGAGCACTCTACTTAATCACTCTTGAATATCGGGATAGAATTGGAAGTCACATTCTGTAGTCACGCATACACGTATAGATTCGTAGTCGCAGGTTTTTATTTTCTCGCTCCCCTTGTTTTTAAAATTTTTCTTTTTTCTTCCTCGCAGTGACGCATTACGCGTTGATGTAGGTATTTTACGTCAAAGCTACACGTCAGACTTTAATGGGTCTCCGCCTCCGCAAAAAGTGCTCCGGCCTCTCATGCTACTGATTTTTTTATCAGTGGCGTGGCGTGAATTGCGATAAATCGATTGTTACGCCATTTAAACCTATGGAAAAGGATCGATAAACGGGGTGTTCGCAGCGAACACCTTAATAATCGATTCTTTACCATAGGCTTAAATGGCATAACAATCGATATATCGCAATTCACGCCACGCCACTGTTTTTTATTCCTCTGCTATGAAACGTCAAATTTTCACGCGTGTGACAGGATCTGTGAAAAGGAATCTCATGTTCTGTGTGACAATCGAATGTGAAAGCCGAATTTAGGAAAAAATGTCAAAATTGCCGATTTTGAGTTATCTACACTCGAATTTCTCTTTATAAGCCTTGGGAATAAGCTACTCTTGGTTTTAGGTTATTATTCTAACCACAGAGGGTGCCAGTTGCTCATTTTCTGGGTGCATGTCCGAATTTTAAGTTAAACTTTAAGGTGATTCGATGGACGCCATATTTTGTGTCAGAACAGCATGCGATATATCTCATCCATTGGTTCCATTTTTGCAGCTACTCGTCTATTTTCTCCAATTTTGACATCGCAATTCTGTTGTCAGGAGACTAAAGCACTCACCAATTTTAACAAATAAATTCAACGTAATGAAAGCGTGGTTTTTTTAGAGAGAAAATATCGCATTCGAGTGCAGTTTCGATATCAGCATCGAATACTAAATTTTTCTTCTAGAAAAAAAAACGCCTTTGTTGTTGAATTTGTTTGTCAAAATTCCCTGGAAAAAATTGGCAGTAGAATCTGTGTTCCAAAATACCATAGACCTACAGCCGGCTGAAAGATTTCCAATAGCTTCTACAGCCGGCTACACAATTTCTAATAGCCTTTTATAGCCGATGGCGATTAAGCAACAGCCAGGCTATAAAGTGTATTCTAAACGTTACTAATTACAGATGCTAGGACTTAGTGAGTTTTTGGAATACTGTTCTCTTTTTGGGCCGTAGTATCTTGATTTATTTTGCGAGGAAAGCTTCGTACTTTTGAAGGATGCCTGCCATTCCTAATATGTTGGAGTGCCTTCAGTTTCGTATGATACTGTGCAATACCTCTGGTGTGAAATAGTTGCTTCAAGCGCCGTGGCAGGCGGGCAGCCAGCGCGAAACACGCCTTGGCGCCTACAAACCTAACAGGGATACTTCACGCGTTGCGTAATGCGTGAAGTATCCCTGTTAGGTTTGTAGGCGCCAAAGCGTCGTCGCTTTGCTTTGTGTTAGGCTCTAATATTTAATCTGGCGGAGTCAGCGTTATTCAACTCATGATTTTGAAATGTTTGCACATCCTGTATGGATTATTCTCATTTTAATTCATGAAAAAAAATATGTATTAAAAGAAAATATAATGTGTGTTTTGTAAATATTAAGGTGGCTCCGTATCAAACTTAATGATTTCCAAAGCACACGAATTTCTACACAATTTCTTATAGCCTTTTATAATCGATGGCGAAAAAGCAACAGCCAGGCGATAAGGTGTAAAGCCCGGCTGCATAATTTTTTATCGCTTCGTATAGCCCGGCCGTATGCTTTTCTCCGCATTCTACAGCCAGCTATATGATTTTCTGTGGCTTTCTTTAGCCGGCTATAAGAATTCCTGTGGTATTTTGAAACGCAGCTCTTATCGCCAACTTTTACCAAGGTTGGTAAGTGAATTTTTTAGTCTCCTGACAACGGAATTGCGATTCCAAAATTTGAAAAAAAATGACGAGCAGCTGAACAAATAGAACCAATCGATTCGAGATATCTCCTATCGTTCCGACACAAAATATGGCGTTCGTCAAATCACCTCAATGCTTTTCCGGAATGTGTAGTTATGCCCCTTCGTTAGCCGGACAACTATAAGAGGGAGGGGGAGATTTCAACATTGTATGACATGTAACCAGTGTTCGAAACTCACAGGCGCCAACGCGCCAAATGCGCCTAAGAAATCGATCATGGCGCCTAAAAAATGATGGCTCTGCGCCAACGTGGCCCCTAAAAATCACGTGACTAACACATCAAGCGTCTAATTTTTCACTTATTGCACCGTGATATACAGGCAAAAAGTCAATCTGCCCCTAAGAAATCTTCAATGGCCACTAAAAATCGAGCTCGTTGCGCCAAATGGCTCCTGAAACTCAAAGGTGAGTTTCGAACACTGCATGTAACTGAAATGCGGGGAGGGAGTACAATATAGCAAAACAAAACTTGGCATCATTCATGGATGGCCCCTTAATTAAGTCCTAGGCTTCAAGCTACCATGTAGCATTCTCGTTGGCGAGTAAGTGTTTGGAAGTGCAACATCGGGACGTGAAGGGGCGCGTCGCCGATTGTAAGAGCTGGGCGATATTCTTTGTAAGCACGCTCGGCCGTGGGCCGCGGGCCGCCCGCACCCGGCCGGGTTTTCGTGCGCCCGCCCCTTTTTATGGGAATCCGATAGTAAAATTGCATGTTGCACGTCGGGGGTGTTCGACGGCGGCACTCGTCTTTTCCTTGTTTCCATAAAACCCGCCCGTAAAAAAATGACAATAACAGTTATTACCGAAGACGGCCGTTTAGATTCTTTCCACAATATGTAATGAACGAGCTGGCTGGTGACCGTAAAAAGAGAATGGCCCGAGCCGCTCATTCGGGACTCCGGAACGATTACAGAGATTGAGTTTTACGGTAAGTGGCGGAACGTGGTGAGAGGCGATTTGCCTACCGGCGAGGCGCCGCGCGCTTCCGACCCTCCCGACCTGCGACTTCGAAAAGATTTGATTCGAGGGGTAGTCATCCGGAAGGAAAGGAAATCCGATATGATACGCTCATAATCGTAGGAGCCGAAGCCTTGCCAGTGTGAGCAATCTCCGATTGAATCAATAGGAGTGAAATGAAGAATATTTTCCGCCTTCGAACATCTTTGGCAAAATTCGAAAATACGTATCTTATGGGTTGCCACGTCGCCGTGCTAATGGAGATGTTGCATGTGTGTGGGATTTGCGATTTGACTGTTGATTTTTATGTAAAAGTTCGCGAGAAACAAGATTCTGCGACTGGTTTTCTCCGAAGTCAACTCCCAAGCTCAGAAAAAGCTTTTAAGTAAAGGCCAAAATGGAGGGGATATCCCACGCTATCCTGAGAGTCCACCTCTACATCAAGACAGACTCTCCATGCAAAGATAGGGAGCAAATACATTGACAGGGCTGCCACCTTATTTGGGGACTCTTAAACTGAAATCACGGCAACTCTGTCAATGTACTTTATCCCTATCTTTGCATGGAGAATTTGTCTTGATGTATATTTCTAAAAAGCACTTTTCATTATATCTCCAAAATTTTTTCTCAAGAAAGCATGTTTGGTAACTTTTTCAAAGTAAAGTTTACGTATAAAATCCTTAAAGAAGTACTACTTTCCAAGAGTTTTTCTAACTATTTTTTCAAACACTTTAAGTACATAGGTTCTTTTCAGAGCTTTCTGAAACCATTGGAACTGAAACTGCATACTTAAAAAATACCCAGAGAGGATTCTCTGCAACATAAGTCAAACAAGTTTGTTGAGAGTTAACTATTCACAATATTCGAAATATTTTAAAATGTTTTGCTACTGTTTCGCTCTTTTCATATGTAGGTAAAATTTAACGTTAGGGACCTTCCCTTGCTTGTGACGTCCTGCTTACAGGCGTTCTCCTATTATATCGGTCCGAAAATTGGTTAAATTCCGCGGTTTCCGGGACCACCGGCTTCCCTCGTGTGTTCTGTAGCTCGAAGCCCACGCGCTCTATCTCCTTTGCCGTAATCATAGCCAGATCCCGCCCAAGGGGGCATTTAGAGTACGATGACTTGTGCGTCGTGCCGTGAAGGATGTAGGCCAAGTAGTGTTCCTCGTTACAACTATAGTAGCGGTACGGTAATTTCTTGTTCATCAGTTTTCTCATCAGCGCTGCTCTCTGCTCCCGGCTCCAGGACTTGGTGTCGGGTATATCCACGAAACGCGCCGTAATGAGATTCCCTTACGGAAACAAAGTCAATATTCAGAATGGACCACTAGAACAGGTTCGAAGTTAAGCATTCTGATATATGTTTCTTATCCAGACTTAAACGTAAAACACATTCTTCTTGCATCAAAAATACCGAAATCAACTCCTAACTAAGATATTAACGTTTTAATTTTACATTAGTCACAATTTTGAATTACCCGGTCACAAGAAACTCAATACTCTACGTGAATCAAATCGCTTGTCACAAATGTTTCGACAGGTTTCTTAATCGAACACCCTGTATAGTTCAAACTCTATATAACTTGGTATATTGCTGAGCCAAAGCGTCAAGATTGAGGTTGCCAGATTTTTACATTGCTAAGACTGTAATGGTAACGTTTAGTCCGCGATTTGACTCTCGTAGACCATTGAGTTTTCATGAGCAGGAGGTTTGAATTCACGCGTCAAGAAACATTAAATATCTTTGAGAATACGAAGAGAACGAAGACGAGTAGTAAGAGAAGAAGAAAAGAGGATGTCGAAATAGAGGTAGAAGTAGGGAAGGAAATGAAAAAGCCCACAAACACACCTAAGAATATCTACAAATAGGCTAGCAACAGTGGCGAGGCGTAAATGATCAATTATGGATATTTTCACATCTGAAGTTTTGGCAAATAATCGATTATTAGGGTGTTTTCTTCGAACACCTTGTTTATCGATCCTTTTCTATAGGTTTAAATGGCAGATCAATCGATACATCGCTAAGCACGCCACGCCACTGGTCACCAAGCTGAACTCCTCTCCCCTCACAAAGTTAGATTCCTTTTAGCAATATACCATTGACAAAAGAGATGGTAAAAATATTGTTACCTCTCTTGTTGCGTGTTATGATGGCAGTCCATGACCAACACCTTTTCCCGGCGAGAACCTGGGCGAGCTTGGTTTCCGAGATGGCCACGAGTGTCCTCCCTTGCTGGGTGAAGAGGACATCACCCTCCTTGAACTTGAGCATTGTTATCATAACAAAATCAGCGAACGGGTTCGGATATTCGTGCCACACGTCCACATCACTCGTGTCTGACTCCGACTGGATGGGCACTTCTCTCGATGGACTTTTGTCGGGGCTTTGGCTCAGCTGTCGCTTCGGCGGTGATGGAGCCGCCACATTTTTGGATTCGGAGGAGCGAGAACGTGTCGGGAAACACGAGCATCGGAAGAGCCTCTTCATTGGTGACGTTTTTTTCAGCGTTGTCTTCCCCGACGCGACCAAGAGGTTCAATGTCAAAACTGTCGCAAAAACTGGGGGGAAAAAAAAATTGAATACCTAATCCATTGTACCGAGCTCTTCGTTTTCCCTACAAGGAAGGTTCCTCAATTCCACATTATTGACACAAGGAATTCAATTATTTTGCAAGAATATGCCTTTACCTTTTCTGTCCAAATCTGCTAATTTTTGTGTGCTATTGAACGAAATATCCGTGAATTTATCGGTTAGAAACGTCCAGCAGTTTCCTCGTAAAAGAGTTAAATTAAGAGTGAATTTTGCGTGACATTAAAATGTAGTTAGGTCCTTTTTTTTAAAAAAACGCCGATTCAAATAGAAAGAAACCAATCAATTACTTCAGGTCAAAACCGACAAAAAAAGTTATCAGCTACAACAGGGCCGCATCGCAGTCAAAACCAAAAAACGGTTTCAATTTTTTGGTTTTTCCGAGAGACTAAAGGTTGATGGTACAGTTAATGGGCTCATTTTTTCATTCCCAAAATATTTTTTTTGACTAATTATGATGGGGAAATATTTTTAACTAGTTGAGCTCAAAAGTACTCCTAATTTACTCCTCCCAAATTCAGTGTGATATTTCATGATAAAGAGAACCTTTGATCCAGAGAACTTAGATTAAGATATTGGCATTCTCGTTTAGAGTAGTAATCTACAAACGTTTTGGTGTAAATCAACCAGAGAATGTCTAAAAACGCCGCAGTTGTATACTAGTCAGAATATTTTACTTGAGAGATGAATATTATAAAATAAATGAAAGTTCAACCAAAAACAAATGCTTTCTCCTTATTTCCCCTCGATCTAGCATGAAGTTTTGAAAGTTTGGCTCACCTCCCAAGCTTACATATGTATAGCACCGCTCATAGCAATGTTTAAAACGAAGATTAAAATCACGCATTTTAAATAACATGGGTATGCGTCGTTTTCATAGATTCTTCTTGCACTTGAGTGCAAGACAAACAGAAATAGTCGTTAAATTTTAGGTGACAAATTTTGGAGAAATAGAGGCAATATATACAAGAAGCAAAATTTTCCATTAAATTCGTGATGCATAATAAAAAAGTTCCACGAGCCTCCCCTTCATGCCACGACTTTTAAGAATAGGTTCATTAAGCTGACTTTGGGTGCTGCATGAAAATGTAAACCTAAAAAAAAATTGACGATAGAGTAGTTTTTGTGATAGCTTTATTACCGCTTTTGATTTAAAGTTACACATGTCTCCATCGCACTGTGACGAAGCCTGAAGATCATATATGAAACGTGAATTTTCCGATGCCTTTCCTCAAGGACTAGTTGAGCTACAGAACATTCAAATATTACGCTGAAAAATGTGATTATTTTAATGTATCTTTCTAGCGGCATTATAGTAATACTCGTTAATTGTTTTTTGTTTATCTGATTGCATTCAGACAATGTGGAAGTTGCATTTTTCCTGTAGAGATCTCAACGAAATTTCTGACCATCAAAATATAGGTTTGATTTTTTCAATGAGTAGACTGAATGTAGCAAAATTTGTAATAAAGTATTTAAGAGGTTTGAAATATTAGCTTTTGAATTATGTTACATGGAAAAAAATATCCCATATTACCCATTGGAAATATAGGCCATCGTAACGCCATGCTAATAATATTCACATTGAATTCCTTCCAGCAGAGACGACCAGAATTTCCGTAATTCTGTTGGGCTTCTATAAGATTGTCTTAACAGTAATCTCATCAGGAAAAGGGGACTTTTGGTTGTCTCCAAAAGAAATCCGACAAGGAAATTATCGATCGGAAGATTTTTCTTCGTGTTGATTCTTGTGTTTTGACCCAAAAGTTGTTCAGATATTATACAATGGCCTCGGCTTTGCCTTGTTTGCCAAGAACCTCCACGTCCACTTTTTTTCACTGTGTGGACCTCTTTTTCAAGTGAATTTTCCCTTGTTTTCTGGGCCTGTTACTGGATGGTGAACAAATATCAACATATCTGTCGTTACAGAACTTCGGGTTTCAAATTTTCAGCACTGTATCTGGAATTATTTGAGCTAATAGTGCTCAAAGAAACTCGGAGGCCTTTCGCAGAGTAATCCTCTTGCTTCAGCGCGATAGTAACATGAGCGACTTTGAAAGAGTACCGTAAGTCAAGCAATTAAGTTGGCGTAGAAACCAACAAAATATTTAATTTGTGCAGTTTACAGCCCTCTAAAACGTCAAAAATCAACTTGATACGATTCTAGGAAAATTCTTGAAACTTTTTGATCGAACTACGAATCACGCCAGGATAGAATTAGGTATTTAGTTGGCCTCGTTTTGGAACAATTGGAATGTCCTTGACTGAGAAGGTGATGCAGGAGTTTAATCGTACTAAATATTTTTCCAAGTAATCTCATTTTTATCGGAATACTCACCAATATTGCTGAACTTTTTGATACAGAACATAAAAACATCCGAATTGATGAACATGCAATCCCCCGGCAAAAACAGTTGCTGAAACCGAGTTCCTATTTCTGCCTGATCTTCCGATTTTTCTCACAACTTATTTAAGTCACTTTAGAGGATCCCACTGTAAAATTTCGTTACGTACTGAGGAGACTGCAAAACTGCGTTCAGAGTGCTCTGTAAGAGCAGAATCAATTTTTTCAACTGTTTCATTACACTAACAAAAAAGCTACACGAGTCAAAAAGCTGACGCGGGGACATATTTCGTGTCATCCTCTGCATGTATCACTGCCGACTGAAGCACAATGTATCAACTCTCTGTCAATCCTCACAAAAAATTAGTCCACGTCATTCTTTGCCGGGCTCAACAAATGTTCATTTCCTAAAACCGACACATTCGAGACAAAAACACAGAGGAGGACAGGGAGAAAATTTGAATGAAAATTCCCTCGTTACGGCTCACGACTGCGATGAGACGCACAAAAAATGTCATCCAGTGCGGTGAAAACTTACTGAAAACAGTGTCGTATAGGCTACTAAACAAAGTCTGAATACTAGACAAAATGAGTCACATATTTACTATTCCAAACCTCACGTGAAAGAAAACAGCTCACACAACTAACAGGGTATTAGAATGTTCGGAAAGCAACTTTTACACGAGATAACACCGATCAGTGGCAATTTTTGAAAGTTGGTAACACTATTTCCCTCCTTTTAGGTGTATGTAAAACAATCGATTCTTGGTTAGGCAGCTTGCCTCACCTAAAATCGATATTTTTAATGGATTTAAATGGAGCAAAACAGTGTTGCCAACTTGCAAAATCGCCACCAACACCGATGAAATGACGGTTCGATTACACGAAAAATGTAATTTACCGATGTTACATAGTTGCAAGCACTTCTATTCTGTTTGGAAGTTGATTTTCAGCCTTCAAATTATATTATTCGTTTTCCATGTGATTTTAAGAGGAAAATTAGCTTTGTAATTGTGTAGTGGCATAGTTCATGCCTCATTTATTTAATAGCCTAAGATGCTGAGTTTCTCTAAATAAATTAACTAACTAACTGTTGGTTCACAATGTGCGCAAGCACCGCAGGGCTGGTTTCAGGAATGTTGAGACATAATTTGCAGTTTGTGGTGCGGGTCTCCCTGAATTTTCACCTACCAGAGGCAGGTGGAAGGTATGGGAGAAAATAATCGCTACCAGCAGAGGGGCGGGGGGGGTCCTTCAAAAATATAAATACTCATTTATTTGCTGATCAAGAGTTTTCCGACGGTCAACTGTCTTCAAATGAGTATGGATTTCCAAAGGATTCAAATTCTTCGTATTTGCGGTTTAAACCGCACCCGATCACTTAACGTTGTTTTCATTTCCACCACATGCACTACAAGTTCTACATCGGAGCACTGTGCCTCGCGCTTGTATGTCCTACCTGGTTGAAATCTTGCATGGTTAAAGAAGATACATAACAATAGATAATTAATTACAAAAATATCTGATTTATTGTTTCGTAAGGATTCGAAGATATCTGAAAGAGTGCATCAAATTTCGATCAGCCGCGCCGGCAGCTGTACCAGCTGAAAACATTCAATGAAATTAGTATGAATTATGGTACCAGTGAGAGGACAACTTCGCAGTAGTGTCATGATTTTTAACAGTTCAAACTGTTGAATGGGTAGCATGTGATGGCTTGATTCCTCTGAGAGATTGTATTAGAATTTGACGCAGAAAAAGCAACCTAAACGATATATCCTGCGAATCAACTTTTGCAATACTAACGTAAAAAATTGACAGAGACGTTGAATTCGAAAAAACCCTACAAAAAATAGCCGTAAATACGCAATTTCAATTTCTAGCCTCTTTTTTTTTAAATGCGTGATTAATCGGTGACATTTCGAAACTTAAATTTATGATAAAAAAAAAAAAAGTGGGTCCCGTCCTGCGCCTTATATATGGCAAAACCGCCCCCCTGTTAGGCAAGGATTTTTAGGTCTCATGCAGATTGGTCTCATGGCCCTCTCGCCCTTTCCCCGTAGATCCCTGTAATATCGGTTGGACGTCTTCTGTCGTGAGGGTTGGAATTTTCTCCCAAAACCATGAAAAGTCGGGCAACTAGACATCTGCGTTTCGCGGACTGTTTGCTTCTAGCGCACCATGCAAAGCTTAACGACGGAACTCAAGTATGGTTTCCGAAAGATTCACATAAATTCCTGCTATACTCCAGACTAAAGCGACTATTTTTCGGTCCCTTAGTTCTCTTTCCAGCTCGCTGTTGATACAAAGGAGGTCAAATTATGATTTTTTAAAGTAAATCTTGACTTTCGATTTTATATTTTGAATAGTGCAATAATTATTCATTCTCAAAAGGAAACTTGAGAAATTTAACATTCTGACCGGTCTCGTCGTTTTTCGCTAATGTACGATATCGACGGCGTAGGTCCGCAACTACGTATCTCGTTTACGGTGTTTGAACATTTCCGCCTCTATATTATTTTTTTAACGGAGAACAAAATGATATTATTCCTCAATGTTTTTGCAGAATTTTCTTCGCACAGGGAAAATAAAAATCACGGCAGTTTTAAAGAATCGCCCTTGAGTAGTTTTTCAATTAAAAATTAAAGTATGACAGGAAGTCTGCGTCATCGGAAACCGAGTTTTGCGATTGCCGACTTACAACGTCGATTTTCTCCTTTGATACATATAATTTTTTTTTTCATCAATTTAAATGAGAATAATCCATGTAGATTGCAAACATTTTAAAACCATGAGTTGAAAACCGCTGACTCTGCGAGTTTAAATATTAGAGCCAAACAGAGCGAAGCGGCGCGGCGTGCTGCCAGCACGAAAAGCTCACTGGCGCCTACAAACCTAAGTGGATACTTCAAACATTGCGCAATACAAGAAGTATGGCGCCTACAAACCTAAGTGGATACTTCTTGTATTGCGCAATGTTTGAAGTATCCACTTAGGTTTGTAGGCGCTTTTCGTGCTGGCCGCCCCGACGTTGCAAACCGAGATACGTGGTTGCGGACTTACACCGTCGATATCTATTTTGGTACTATTTCCTAGATGTCCTGGAGAGTAAGGGACGCAGGATTGGATTTCAATGGCGTGGCGTGAATTGCGGTATATCGATTGTTATGTAATTTAAACCTATGGTAAAGAATCGATCATTAAGGTGTTCGCTGCGAACAACCTGTTTATCGATCCTTTTTCATAGGTTTAAATGGCATAACAATCGATATATCGCAATTCACGCCACGCCACTGTTGGATTTAGCATATAGACGCACTAGGCACACGCCTATGGCTATAGGGCTCAAGGCGCACAATGGATAGAGTCAATCAGAGAGGCCGGACTAGAAATTATAGACTAAAGCTTCAAATTTTGATGTTAATTTTGTCATATTTTCAACTTTAAGGGGTGCTTTTGGAAGAAAATTTCACGAGAAAACTAATGGAATCACTTTAAGAACCTCAAAGTTTTATATAAACGGAGTTATAAGCGTTTAAAGTTTCCAAATCTTGTCCGACCTCTCCCATTGACTCGATCAATTGTGAGGCGTAGGCTCGATAGGTAGCGCATTTGATTCGTGATAGGCAGGTCCCAGGTTCGAATTCCGACAGGTTGGTAGAAATTTGAATGTTGCTCACAAGTAGAAAAAATAGCGCCATAGTTCTAAAAATGTAAAAAGCCTGATTTTGCCTTTACGACTTATCAATTAATCAACTTTTTACAATAATTTATCCAAATTTCTACTCTTTATTACGTTAAATTCGCCTTTTCAAATGATTAATTTTACTCGTGAGAAATAGTAAAATGAATAATTCTAAATGGCAAGTCTGAGTACTTACATGTAATGAAGGAAAGTATCTGAATGATTGGACTTACTGTTCCTAAAAGTCATCTCTAGAATTGAGATGATTTGCCCTACACTTTGAAATTAATCAATTTAAGCTCTTTCACCGTGCTTATTTTAACCTGCTATTTAATTGTCACCCAAAATTACCACTTTAAAAAGTTCCACCAACGCCGCTTGGGTTTGAAATCATTATTTTTTTTCCGTATGCGTTTTACAGTTGTTCCGCTACTGTATCGCTCCGAAAATTGTATAAAGTCCTCGAATTTAAGGGCCACTGGCTTCCCTTTACTGTTCTGTAGCACGAAGTCCTCACTCTCTATATCCTTTGCCGGAATCATTGACAGATCCCGCCCAAGGGGGCATTTAGAGTACGATGACATGTGCGTGGTGCCGCGAAGGATGTACTTCATGTAGTGTTTCTCATTGCAATTTTCGTAGCTGTACGGTAATCTCTTGTTCATGAATTTTCTCATCAGTGCTGCCCTCTTCTTCCGGGTCCAGTCTGCAGTGTCGGGTATATCCTCGAAGCGGGCCGTTAGATAATTCCCTTGCGGAAACAAAAGCGAAACTTTAGAATGTTGAGTTTTCCTCCAAGAAAAAGATACTAAAAAGGTGGCCTGAACTTTAAGGTGATTCGATGGACGCCATATTTTATGTCAGAACGGCTTGCGATGCATCGCATCAATTGGTTCCATTTTTTCAGCTACTCGTCATTTATCTCCAATTTTGAGATCGCAATTCTGTTGTCAGGAGACTAAATCACTCACTTACCAATTTTAACAAAGAAATTCAACGTAATAAAGGCGTGGTTTTTTTAGGGAGAAAATATCGCATTCGAGTGCAGTTTCAATATCAGTATCGAATGCGATGTTTTCTCTCTGAAAAAACTACGCCTTTATTACGTTGAATTTCTTTCTTAAAATTGGTAAGTGGGTGCTTTAGTCTCCTGACAACAGAATTACGATCTCAAAATTGGAGAAAAATGACGAATAGCTGAAAAAATGGAACCAAGTGATGCTATATATCGCATGCCGTTCTGCCATTCGTATGGTGTCCATCGAATCACCTCAAGTGAGAACATCAAGTTGGAATTTTTTAGCCAACGTGCATTAAATATCAGCATAAAGCTGAAAATGTCAATACGGAGGGAAAAGCTCACATGAGCACAATTTTCCCACAAACAGGTGCGCTGTTTGGTGCATGAATGGTGCTGAATGGTCGTTACTTGTGTTGCACCAAACAGCGTATTTCTTTGAGGAAAAATTGTGCTCATATGAGCTTCCCCCCTCTGTATTGAGATTTCCAGCTTTATGCTGATTTTCAACGCACCAAAAAATTCCAACTTACTGTCTTACGACCCGTGCGTCTACCACAATCAGTTTGTTTAAGTGAGGAGGTGGTAAAATAGTAAACTAGGTTCATACTATCCTGCGGGGAGATCAAGGACAACAAATTCAAATTTTCTCTTTATTAGATTCAAAATTTTGAACTCTTATGAGTACCAGTTCAATACCGAGGGGGAGAGTGTTCAGCTCAGGTAGGTAGATGCATTGGAATACTAAAGCATATGGTAGATGGCGTGAGGGTCGCACTGAAGTGTCATATGTCTCGCCTTATGTTTATGTCGGCGTTTCAATGCTGTTTAGGATTTTGCGTGATGCTAGAAGGTGGGCTCAGTGACGAGCTCGTGTAAAACAAACAAATGTAGTAAAAAGATGAAGAAGGCCGAGGTAAAGCAAAAGGGAAGAAGGAATTATTGCATAAGAGAAAGTAGGAAAAGTAAAATAAAAAGAAAGGGAAGAACACGGAGAACAGAGGCAGTAGGAAAGGAGAGAGGACGTCAAGATAGAGGAATTATAATGAGGAGAAAAAGGAATAGAAAATTGCACATCTGAAAATCTCTCTAAAATTAATTTCATGAATTAAAAAAGATAGCTAGATAAATTGAACGTATTTGTATCAAACGGAACTGTGTGCATTAAGACATGAGCCCTGAGACCCATAAGAATATGTGCATATCAGGGCTCACGTCATTATGCACATAGTTCCGTTTGGTAGAAATACGTCCAGTTTAATCTGGGGTCCCTTAGCGAACTCTGCAAGCGTAAATTTTTTGTGCCATTTACGGTAAGCCTAACAGCTGGTCTCCAAAATTGAACAATAAAGTTACCTCTCTTCTTCTCGCGTGTTGTGATGGCAGTCCATGTCCAAGACCTGTTCCCGACGAGAATCTGGGCGAGCTGGGTTTTCGAGACGGCCACGAGTGTCGACCCCGAGTGTTCGGTGAAAAGGACCTCACCCTCCTCGAGTTTGATGTCTTCTAACGCTTGAAACTCTCTGAACCGGTTCGGATAATCGTGCCACACGTCCAAGGCGTCCGTGTCCGATCCTGATCCGGTCTGCGAGGACGATTTGATCGACGGTTGTATCGATGTGCTCTCCTCGGAGCTTCGGCTCAGCTGTCGCGTCGGAAATGTTGGAGCCGCCAAACTTTTGGAGGATTGATGAGAGCGTGTCGTGAAAAATGGAAATCGGAAGAGCCTCTGAAATGGAGACGGTTTTCTCGCGGACGCAACCAAAAGGTTCGATGCCAAAACGGTCGCAAAAACTGGAAACAAATAAAGCACGAGACTGGACAGGACTAAAATTATTTAAAAAATATTAAAAACTGACTTGCACAAAATAAATAGAATTGGACCAGTTTCGAAGGCTTTCCTTCGTCTTCAGTCACTGAAAAAAATTTAAATTATGAACTCGATTGGACTTGTCTATGCATGGAGAAAAATATCCCAAATCATCTATTTGCTCAATGTAGGCCAAAGCAACGTCATGCGAATTACATCCCCATTGAATTCCTTTCAGAGAGATAACTAGAATTCCGTAATTTTATTGGAAATCTGCACCGAAAAAAAGCGAAGTTGATTTAACATTCTGGATGTAAAAAGAGTGTGCGAGAACTTATAAAATGCTGGACTACCCGCTTCAGCAGTTACTTGAGCAAAGCCGAGATGTAAAACTAACTGCTGTGGCGGGTGATTCAGCATTTTATAAGTTCTCGCACACTTTTTTTACATCCAGAATGTTGAATCAACTTCACTGTTTTTCCGGTGCGGTTGCCGTAACAATAATCTCATCAGGAAAAGGGGAATTTCGGTTGTCTCAAAAAGAAATCCGACGAGGAAATTATCGATCGGAAATTTTTTCTCTGTGTTCTTTATTGTGTTATGACGCTTAAGTTACTCAGAATGGATACAATGGCCTCGGATTTGCATCGTGGGCCTCCTTTTAAAGTGAAATTTCTCCTTTTTTCTGAGCCTATTTTTAAACGGACTACATTTTGTAATTCGGAACTACAATTTCTGGCTCATCTATAAAGACACTTGTGTTCATAGGGAAACTAATGGCATATACATTGTTTTTAAACTAAGCCGGCAATTATAGTTCCTTATTGAAAAATGGTGTCCAAATGTCCGGGTGATTAACACATATCCAGTAATATATCGTTTAAGAACTTAGAGTTTAAAATTTGTATCAATGTATCTGGAATTTTTTTAAAGCTAAAAGTGATTAAAGATACCCACGCTTAGAATAATCCTCTTACTTTCATGACAGTGCGATTAGACAGTGTGGTGTGCAACTTTGGAGGAGTGTCGCTAATCAAGTAAAAAAATTAGAGCAAAAACCCACAAGATATTTAATTTGTGAAGTTTAAAGCTTTCCAAAACTTCAAAAAACAACCAGGTACATTATGTAGGTGGGCGAAACCATGATGGGAAAATTCTCGGAACTTTTTGATCAAATCACCAATCACGTCGGATGGAATTTTTGGGTGGAATCAAGTGAAATATCTTTTAGGGAGCAGCTGATGTAGAATTTTGATCCAAGTAAAATATTTTTTCAGGTAATCTCATTGTAATTGGAACACTCACCAATATTGCTGAACTTTTTGGTACAGAACATAAAAACATGCAAATTGATCAGCATGCTCTCCCACAGCAATAATAGTTTCTTCCACAGAGTTCCCACTTCTGTCTAAACTTTCTATTTTCTCACAACCTCTCTTTGTCACTTTAGAAAATGCCACTGTAAATTTTCGTTACTTACTGAGACGACTGTAGGTCTGCGTTCAGAGTAGCTACTCTGCATGAACAGAATCCCGTTTTTTAACCAGTTCAAGATAGAAAATGGCCAAAAAATCAATATGAGTCCAAAAAAAATGACGTGTTGACGTGCTTCATGTCACTCTGTGCATGTCTCTCTGCCGATTGAGGCAAGTGTATTGACTGGACGTCAATCCGCACAAAAAATTAGCCCATGATGACGTGTACTAATGGAAGGAATGATTCTTGCTAAGAGAAATTTTTGTGCATTTCTTAAAAACAAACGCACATGAAATAAAAACACAGAGGAGGGGCACAGAGAAAATTTGAATGAGATTTCCCTCATTACGAAACGCGACTTGAATGGGGCACACAAAAAACGTCACCCGGTGCTTTGAAAATTCACTGAAAACTGTCACACATGACTCGTGAGCCAAGACATTTTAGGTAGAGAGTTTGGAATAGAGAATGAGTCACACGTTTTCCTCTTCCAAATTGGACTACATTTTGCAATTTGGAACTATAAATTCTAGCCCGATATAAAAACAACGTATGTGCCATTAGTTTCCCTAGGCACATAAGTGTTTTTCCAGGAGAGCCAGAATTTATAGCTCCAAATTGCAAAATGCAGTCCATTGAACTTAGAGAACGACCCACACAGCGTCAGAGACGGATCCAGCAATTTTGCCACACCGGATTTCCTCTATTTAAATCTGTGTTATAAATAATCGATTCTGTTCGGAGCACCTGGCCCATACAAGAATCGATACATTTCCATAGGTTTAAATGGGGAAAAAAACAATGTTGTTAATTCGTAAATTAAATAACATTGTTGTTAACCTAACTCGATGACAGCGTCATTCGAGAACAAAATCCGAAACGACCGCGCTTTATACTACTGGGTATTTTCACAACGAATAAGATGGAGGCTAGATTATACGAATGACGCTTTTTGTATGTTTGCTCTTTAACCAACGTTCGTCATAAACACTTCCATCCTTTTTATGAGGTGATGTTCAGACTTCTCATTTTGTGATTTGTTTTTTACATTAATTTCGAGGACAAAATATGTTGCGTGTAGTGCTTTAATTCATACCTTGGCTACTGGTCCACTCTGTCCGCAAGCTCAGCAGGACCAGTTTCAGAATTTAAGTCTTTACCTCACAGAGGAGGTTAAAGGGCCCCTTTCTGCCCCCTTCTACCCCCCTTTTTGTCTGAGAGTGCACCTGAACCGTTCCTTCCAGCAGAGGGGGGTTCGGGGGTTAAACAAATATACGGGCATATACTCATTTATTTGCTGTTCAAGAGTTTTCTGACGTTGAGCTGTCTTCAAATGACGATGACTTTCTGAAGGATTCAAATTTTCCGTGTTTACATTTAAGCTTCTATCTTTGTTTATACAACACGTAAAAGTTTTAAATAAGTCGCATTGGTTTTCCTATAAAATTTTCATCAGAGGCACCCCTTAAAATGTACAATTTGACGAAATGAACATCAAAATTTGCGGTTTTTAGTCGGAAATGTCATGTCCAATCGGACTCCGAAAGGCTCGACCCATTGTCTATATACCGCCCGGGCGAAGACAAGCTCCGAAGTCTAATCTCAAGATAAAATCGATTACCAAAACTGATAGGTTACAAATGTGAGTAGATTCCGTTTGTATGTATGCTTTCAGTTCTCCACGTAAAAGTGACTTTCCGTAGTCCCGATCTGATCCATCTCAACCACAATGGGCCTGTTGCAAACTTTTGCTAGAGCAGAATGAAGAGTTGTTTCCTATAGATAATGCCTCAAAAATCACGATGAGCGCATCAGCAAAGTCTGAAATGCACTCATAACTTCACAATCTGCGTAAGAAATTTGCGTTATTTTGAGCTTCCCGCTTCAAAAACGATACTACTGCACAGGTGAACATTTTGTTAGAGGAGTCGCTCCATCGTCGGCAATATTCATCATGGCCGACGCTTGTGCAGTTCCTCGCGTAATTCGAGGAGAGTTCAAGGTCAATTAAGGCGGGCGAGGAAAATATGAACGTAAACACGCCGATTGTTATATGGTTTAATCCTGTTCAAGTGTTATCTCGTCCCATCACACGTGTTTTGGCGGACTGGCGTCGGCCATGATGAGTATTGTCGCCAATGGAACGACTCCTCTAACAAAATGTTCACCTGTACCGTAGTATCGTTTTCGAAGCGGGAAGCTCAAAAAACCGCAAATTTCTTACGCAGATTGTGAAGTTATGAGTGCATTTCAGACTTTGCCGATGCGCTCATCGTGATTTTTGAGGCATTATCTGTAGGAAACAACTCTTAGTTTTGCTCTAGCAAAAGTTTGCAACAGGCCCATTGCTCCTTTGACAAAAATCGTTCCCGAGAACAAGGGGAACAAGGATCGGGATCCCTTTTCCCTGCGGGTCATGAAAAAACGCACGACGACTTCCCGGAAATCTACTTGTCCCTAGAAAGATCAAGTTTCCCGGCCACAAAAATCCAAATGCGGCGTTAGCAGCGGCGCACGGTGGATCAAGTCACTCGGAGAGGCCGGTCATAAAATTGTTGACTAAAACTGCGGATTTTGATGTTTATCTCGTCACATTTTAAATTGTAAGGGGTGCTCCTGGAAGAAAATTTCACGAGGAAACCAATGGAGCCACTTTTAAAACCTCAAAATTTTGTAAAAACGGAGTTATAAGTTCTTAAAGTTTCCAAATTATGTCCGACCTCTCTTATCGACTCGATCCACTGTGCGGCGCACAGTGGATCGAGTCAATAGATTTCGGACAAAATTCGGAAACTTTAAACGCTTATAACTCCGTTCATACAAAACTTTGAGGTCCTAAAAGTGGTTCCATTGGTTTCCTCGTAAAATTTTCTTGCACGGACGTCCGTTTAAATTTAAAATGTGGCGAAATATACATCAAAATTCACAGTTTTAGTCAAAAATCTCATGTCCGACCTCTCTGGTTGACTCGATCCAGTGTGCGGCGCTCGACGACGGAGATACCCGGAATGATAAATAAGGGGGACTCGCGGAGCGGAGATGAGCAGGGCGGGAAGGGCACGGGGGTGGGGATGGGGGAAGGGTCGGACAATGGGACCGCGGTGGCGAGAGGGGTGTTATATTTCAGATCGAGTCCCTGAGACTGGCACCGGCTCCGGAGATCTTTGGCGCCGCCGAACATCACGCGGAGGGACGTGCCGTAAACAGGGACCTCGAAAACAACTTCGAGAGCGCCCGTTGCCGGATTATAAAATCCCCGAACTTTCCCGCCGCCGCCGCCCGGAAACTTTCCCCGCCGCCCCCCGCGAAACCGAGATCCATGGCTACTTGATATTCCGCATTGCAACCCGCTGCGATATTCCTCAACTCGAGATTTATGACGGGGAAAATTAGGTTACGAGGGACAAGGTTTCCGCTGATCTGAACTCTCTTACCTTTATGGTAGAGTATACCGTTACAGGGAGAGTATGGCCACTTCGGTTACCACCTGCCTGGTAAAAGTAGAGCATTATGATCTCGTCATTGAGACATCACAATGGCTTATGGAACAAATCTCTGTAATTTCACTCTGATACACGGAGAAAAAAAACTTCGTGCATGGGGCCCGAAGTTTAGGTCATATGGATCTCTGAAGTTTTCGGATTAAGCACCCGAACAGTTAAGGTCTAGCTATGCCGAAGTTCGGGTCAAACATCTGAAACCTCAGTTCTTACATCTGAAGTACTTCAGATATGAGAACCGAAGTTTTTCGGATGTGAAAACCGAAGTACTTCAGAAGCAAGAACTGAAGTTTCAGATGTCTGACCTAAACTTCGGCAGCTAGACCTTAAGTGTTCAGATGCTCTATCTGAAAACTTCAGAGATCCATATGACTTAAACTTCGGGTTCCACGGAAGAGGGTTTTTTCTCCGTGTATCAATCTGACATCACTCTGACACCATCCTGACCATTCAGACATCACTATGATGACACTATGATGGCAGCGAGTGTTCAGCAGACATCACTGTGACGTCACACTGATTTATGAAACACATAGTGGATGTCATTATGACATCAGGGTGATGCTACAATATCCCTCTTTTACCAGGGCTCTAATTGGCTCAGCCATCTTAGGCTAAATTAAGGCCTTCTAGGACCCCAAAAATGGCGGACGTTGTAGGTAAATGTAAATACAAAATGACTCAAAATGTAGTTTTATTCGCATATTGCAACGGGAACTTTACTCAAATGCATTATCACAACGCATTTCCATATTTTACGACTAGTTCTGTGCAATTTTCAAGAAAAATCATTTCAGGTGTAATAAGGTTGGAAGCAAGTGCGGTTTGTGATAACCGTCAAAAGTTGGCAATGATCCCCCTCCCATCCACAAAACCCAAACAAAGCGCCGCCGTTGTTGGGCCCTAAACCCCTCCGTGGGACCCATTGGCTATACTCTTCGTATAGAAGTATTCTACTTCATGGAACTGCTTCAACTTTCATTATAGAGGAACTGATAAGTTATCATAAGAGTAGTGCACACGCATACAGTACATGACCCTGGTAAAAATTGGCTATAGGAGATGCGTTTCAAAATACCACAGGAGTTCTTATAGCCGACTGAAGAGGGCGATAGAAAATCATGTAGCTGGCTGTAGAAAGTGGAAAAAATCATACGGCCGGGCTACACGAAGCGATAAAAAATTATACAGCCGGGCTATAGTTCCTATCGCCGGGCTTTACACTTTATCGCCTGGCTGTTGCTTTTTCGCCATCGGCTATGAGAGGCTATAAGAAATTGAGTAGAAATACTTGTGCTTTCTAAATCCTTAAGTTTGTACGGAATCACCTTAATATTTACAAAACGCACATTATATTTTCCTTTACTACATATTTTTTTTCATCAATTAAAATGAGAATACTCCATACAGAGTGTGCAAACATTTCAAAGTGATGATTTGAAAAACGCTGACTCCGCGAGATTAAATATTAGAGCCTAAAACAAAGCGGA